TAACGAAGAGTGAATGAATAAAAGTCAAACAGAAAGAAGGCTGGCCAGATGTTTTGGCGTCGGGGCTCCTGGGATCTGTTTGCTTTCAGTAGATAGTGGAGGCAGAGAGCGGGTGAGGGCCTGGCCCTCTGAAAGGTCAGCTCTGGCTTTGGTGAGCGGCTCCTGCCTGGGAGAAGGCGCCTGTGCCTGTGAGCGCTAGACGGGGAGTCCCTGCCTGAATCTGGGCCCTTCTGTGTCTGCGTGTGGGTGGGTGTCTCCATGTGAATCCCAGCGTCTCTGTCTGTGTGTCCCTGCTCAGAAGCTCCTTCCTGGCCAGTAATGAGGCCCTGGGGATTTCTCATGTGTTCGTGGCTCTGTGGCCCAGAAGTCATCTAGCTGGGCAGGCTCCCCTCCCGGCAGAGGCTGTGGCCTGGGGTGAGGCCAGATGGGACAGCACCAATTCCCTCAGCCACTGACAGTCGTATTTACAGAGCTCCGAGGAGGACGTAATTGCTTCTATTAATCTTTCTCCGGTTGTTAATTGCTCACTTATCGGGTTGTGTACTATGCCGACTGTTGCTCTTAATTCGCCTCTATAGCTGCAGGTGTTCACTGCCTTATTAACTGTTAATCGGCGCCACTAGGGATGGAGACTTAATTGGCCCCCAGAGTGGGACACAAGCAGGCCAGCCCCGGGCACTGCCAGGCTCTCAGCCTGTCCCTGGAAGCCTTACCTATGAGCACAGGTTGCTACCAGAGAAGGAGCTGGCCCATCGCCATCCACTGGCAGGTGGACCAGCGTAGGACAATGAGTGACATCTGCAAGGTGTGGCCCCCTCCTCCAGAAAGCCAACCGACCAATTAGAATCCAGCTCCTACACTTCCTCTCATCACCAACAACCTTCTTCTACCTGGGATAGGAGCCAACCTCATTTCTTTTCATTATCGGAACGTAACTGAGAACTAAGCGACCAGCACTTCTCCTGCCTCCCCTCTGATCCCGGCAGTCAAGGCTGTCAAGGTAGCAGAGACATTGGGAGAAAGGAGGGCAAGCTGAAGGAGCTTCTGCCGGAGCAGGGAGGCGCAGTTAGACCCGGGAGGACTTCCCAGCTTTTCCAGAGGCCAGCTGGAACCATCCGAGTCCAAATAAGAATAAGAACTTCCCGGAGGAGATCCACTGCTCATCCCAGCCACCCTAAGGGGTCCCTCTCAGCCTCTGCTTTCACAGCCCCAACCTCCCTGTGCACTGCCACACAGCTGCAGCTGCGGGAGGGTCTCCCTGCTGAGCGGCCTCTGCCGTCCCCTACCCAAGTCACAGCAGAGGAATCCCAATTGTCCACAATGGGACACCAGGCCCAGACAGGACGAGGGAGTGAGTGACTCCAGGGCCCCCGATCCTCTCTGGCCAGGGCTCAAATACGTGAGTATCCAAGCAAAGCTTCTGCCCCCAACCTCCCCCTACCCTGCTCCATCCCAGACATCTCAGACCTGGAGGGGATTTTCTTGGTCACCACCTTCTTAGTTTTGGTCTTTTAAAAACTATATATATATATTTTTTTATTGATTTCAGATAGAAAGGGAGAGAGAGAGAGAAACATCGATGAGAGAGAAACATTGATCAGTTGCTTCCTGCCACCCCACACTGGGGATCAAGCCTGCAATCCGGGCATGTGCCTGACCGGGAATCGAATCTTGACCTCCTGGTTCATAGGTCAACGCTCAACCACTGAGCCACGCCGGCTGGCTTAGTTTTGGTCTTTAAGCCTCTCAGCCTCAGCTGCCACTGCTGCAGCTGCCTCAAGCTCCAGCACCTTTGAAACAGGAATGCAAGGTTTCTGGAAACAGTTGACCCGAGAGAGACAAGTATGTTAAATGTGTTCACGTGTGGTGGTGGTGGTGGTGGTGATGAGATGGGGGGGGGGGGGGGGCGGGCCGGTCCATGCCTCACCAGCCTCCAAGAAGGACAAACAAGCAAACCAACATGGTCCACATCCTGTGCCTCGAATCCTGTCTGCCCTGACATCTGAAAGTTTATCCCGATGCTAGTTGTCATGTCTTGAGCTGCAAAGGAAGCTGATTTGCTTTGGTTGGGCCCTGAGAGAAGCTGGGCTCTATGGAGAGATGAAGGGAACTACCATTAAATGCCTACTGTGTGCCAGAAGCAGCAGTAAGTGTATGCAGAGGTGGCATCTCATGGAATCCTCACATAACCTGATGAGTCAGGGATTCGTATCCCCCTTACAGAGAAAGAAACGGAGCTGGCTAGAGGGAAACTAAACTTGCCCAAGGCCACACAGCCAGGAAAGGGCAGAATTGGGATTCCAACCACTGCCTGCGTGTCTTTGGTCAGTGATACCACGGTGGATTCATCCTAATGGCTCAATAAAGTGACCAGGGCTGGAATCGGTCATCACTATTACGTTTTACCCACTTGACCCAAATCTGGGAACATTAGTAAGAAAAATGCGCATGTGCCTGGCGGTGGCTTAGTGGTTAGAGCCTGCGCACTGAAGGGTGGAGGGTTTGATTCCCTGTCAAGGATATGTACCTCTGTTGCCAGTTAGTTCCTCTCCAGTCGGACTGCCTGCGGGAGGCAACCAATGTGTGTGTGTCTCTCTCCCCCTCCCTCCCTCCCTCCCTCCTTCCCTCCCTCCCTCCCTTCTACTCTCTAAAAAGCAATGGGAAAAAAAATTATCCTCGGGTGAGGATTAAGAATAATAACATAAAATAAATAAAAAAAATAAAAACTTTTAAAACCGCCTACGCGTGCGCAGTCCTCGTGCCCATCAAGCAGGATCAGCAGCAAAGGGGACCTGTCCACTGTCCAGGGACAGGTGCCCAAACAAGTTCCGGCCCCGCCTCCATGTTAATGACATGCAGATAGATGTAAATTTGCACAAGCAACTGCTCAAACCTTGGGAAGCAATGAGATGACACAGAAGTTTCTATGGAAACCCAAAAGCGCCCCCACACACACCTCGTGGCAGAAGCAATCGCAAAGACACGTGCACAAAGACCCAGGGTTCCTCGCTGCGGAGCCCGGAGGATCACGGAGTCGCGGAGGGTGTGAACCGGAAGGACCCGCAGAGCCGGCGTCCAGCCGGTGCTGAAGCCCGAGAAGCCGCCGGGAGAGCGGCATCGTGGGGCGCCTTCCGCTAGAACCGAGGGGAGCTTGGTAGCCCTTCAAGTCCCAGGCGACTCCTACTCTGGCCTAGCAACGTGAGCCCCGCCCAGCGTTGCTTAGCAACATCTTACCGAGCCTAGCAACCGCCGGCCTCGCCCCCTAGCAACAGCTCGCCTAACGCGCTGTCCGGGCCTCCTCTGCCAGAGAGAGAGGCCAGGGGCTATGGACTAGCCGCGCAGCGGTCGCCAACCGGTGGTCCGTGAGGTCCGAAAGGTTGGCGACCGCTGGACTAGGGCCACAGGTGGGTGGACGTCAGGTTGACCAGCCCCCAGCCTCCAAGCAGGCCGCAGCATTCGGGGTCCGCCAACAGCCCCCTCCTCACAGCGGTGAAAGCCGAATGCAGACCTTGCTCTCCCCGGAGCGCCCCGGGAAGGCAGCAGACGCTGCACCTGGGGGAGGGGGTGCGCAGCCGTCTCCCGCTCCAAGTCCTCCTCCTTCAACCGCGTTAGGAAAATGACCCAAATTGCCGGCTCGGAATAGAGCTGTAGGTTGCATAGTAATTTGTGTCATTTGCATATGGCACAGAAGCTGTGGCGCTCACCAGCCGCTCGGGCCAGAAAGCTCCCAAAGGAGCTTCGACCCGTCTGCAGGTTCACCGGTCCCTTCTCCCTGTCCCACCCCGCACCCCACCCCGGTCCCTGCTTCCATCCCTTCGGCTAAAATCCCACACCTCGCCCCACCCCCAGCTCGGCCTCTAGCCCTGCCAGCCCCGACCTCCATCCCAAGGCCGAGGGCCCCCTCTGCTGTCGTCCGCGGGTAGGGCAACAGCAGAGCTCATGGGGCAGAGAAGAGACTCCCCCAAACACCCCATCCGTCCAGCACGGTCCAGGGCAAGGCTGGCACATAGGTAGATTTCGAGAAGGGGTGGGCAGGGGGACACCCTTCAGGCCCGGGGAGAAGGGTAGGGTCCTATCAGAAGTTCTCCAAGCCACGTCCTGCTTCTCCGTGTGGGTTAGGCAGCCAAGAGCAGCTCCTTTGCAGGCCAGTCCCCAGACTCAGTTCTCCCAAGGACCCTCCACACTGATATGCTTTTCCATTGTAGCTGCTGTTAGATCACTCCAGGCCCCAGGCAAAGCAGCACCATCCAGCCCTAACTCCAGCCTGAGTGTCCACCTGCCAGGCCAAGACCCTTGGCTTTCTCCAGTCCCAGTGCCTGGGAGCTGGCAAGAGATACAGAGAGGAGGAGTCCTTTATGGATTGCCCGACTTCAACAGACAACAGACACACACACATGCTCACAGGCAGAGGCACACACAGAGACACATAGGGACTATGGTGGTGGCCCCACCCCCACCCCCACCCCAACTCTCTCTCGGTAATGAAAATTTTTAAAAACATTGCAATCTCTAGGTGCCTGTGCCCCTTCAAAAGCCGAATTCTCTCTCTCCCCCTCCCTACTCCTGCCTTCTCTCCCATTACCTATTCTCCCTCCTAGTTCAGATTACTTGCAAAATGCTTCCAGAACCCACCATGCCAACAGCCGTGCCCTGGCACATAGTGATAGTCAAGGACCTCAGACAAGCAACTGGCAAAGTTGCTCCTCCATCCCAGCACGTTAGTTTTGCTACCACATCTGTGCACAAAATCTCAGACACACCCACCCCAGCCCACACCTGGCCAGGCCCAGGGTCTCTCCTGCCCAGCCAGCAGATGCATGCAGTCTCAACTTCGTCAAAATCTTTATTGAACCAAAAATCAACACTAAACAGTTTGCAAAACATGAAACTCAAAAGGGGCGGGTGGGTTGAGCTGGCCCTCCCCTTCCTCTGCCCCGATATGTCCCTGGAACAGCTCAGGGTTCAGCACTGGGGAGGGAGTCAAAGGCCCTCCTCTAGGGTCAGGTCTCTCCAGGGAGAGGACACTCACAGCCAGCTCCATCTGTTGGGCCCAAAGAGGAGTCGGGTGCTGGGCCAGGGGGCTCTGGAGCTGCCGGAGGCCGGGATAGGAGTCCAAGAATTCCACCGGCTGCAGGGGGCTGGGGAAGGAGCTCCTGGCCTGGGGATCTCAGGGAGGCTTGGAGCTGGCGGCTCATTGTCACCAGGGATTCAAGATGCTGGAGCAGGGCTTGCTGGGGACAGGATGCCCTGTGGAGGTGCTGGCCCCGGCCAGCTGGTGCTGAAGAGGGATGCCGGGACTGGCACCAGCCCGGTCTTGTGGGCCACTCCCCTCGTCCAGGCCCCCGCCAGGTCTCAGCCTCTTCCCACAGTCTCCCCCTGCCTCTAGAGGGCTTCTGCCCAGCACAGCTTCCCCTTGGAGCCAGGCTGCCTTTGCCCCCTGGGGGAGGGGAGCCCTTCGGGGCCACATCCGGCCTCCTGTCCTTCCGCTGGTAGCATCTCATCTCCACTTTTTTGTTGAAGGAGACCACCTTGCGAACCTTCTCCAGCAAGGGGCTGGATTCCGCTGTGTCTGGAAACCCTGCTGTGGGGAGCAGCACAGCCAGCAGCAGGCTTGGGTGAGCAGCTTCCAGTCCTGGGGAGAGGCAGGGAGAGACCCAAGGCCTGGTAGGAGAGCGTGCACCGCCCTCCGGGAGCTGCGTGCTGGCTGTGGCAGGAGGTCTGGAGGTCAGCCCCCCAAGAGGAGCTTTCCAGCAAGGAGACGGGGGCCCGGGAGCTGCTGGGGAAAGTCACTGGGTGGGTGGATGTGCCTTGGAAGACTGGTTCTCAGTGAGGGAAAGGGTTCCCCTGGCTGAGGGTAGACATGGATGGTGTGACCCTACCTCAGTTTTCTCATCTGTGACATGAAGACATTAATAGTACCATTCTAGGGTTATTTGGAGGACCAAGTGAATTAATTTAAGTAAGCTTTTAGAACACTGCCTGGCATGCAGTAAACAATAGACAAGTATGAGCTACCGGCATTGTTATCACATTTTCCTGTCTCAGAAGTTCCCTCCTGAGAGGTGCCTGTCTCCACAGAGACATGGGTGTGACCAAGTGAAGGGAGGCAGGGTCTGGTACGGGCATCAATATTCTCACCTGGGCCTCCAAGAAGGCGCAGTCTGGTGGGCAGGGGCTGGAAGGCAGGCAGGGGCAGCAGGACCACCCTCACGTGTTCCACCGCTGCCAAGCCATGGCACTGCTTGTTGTTGAGGTAGGAGTAGAGCAGGTGGCAGTTCTGGGTGTCCCGAGCCCCCTGGGGGCACAGCCTGACCACACAGGTGTCCTGTAGTTGCAGGAAGGACAGCAGCTGTAGGAGCAGTCATCCTTCACTCCTGCAAACACCTCTGCTGGGAGGAAGTGCATCCCCATTTTCCGGAGAAGGAAACAGAGGGACTCGCCCAGAGTCACACTGTAAGCCTGCAGTCACAGTGGGAATTCGACCCAACTATTGTACACCAGGTCTCTGCTCCAGAGGCAGAGAGAGAGGGGGCACAGGGCTGGGGGTACGGTGCTAGCAGAAGAGGTGATACGCAAGAGTGGGTGGTTACCTTGTCCTTGGCTGGGCAGACGCTAGCCAGAAGGTTCCAGATGGTGCTGGAGGGGATGCAGCCTGCTGAGCGGATCACCTCGGGCAGGGTCTGGGGGCAGGTAGCATGGCCAGTCAGCCCCCAAGATTCCTAGCCACTGAGGGCAGACTGGACACCAGCCACCTGAAAGCCACAGCCTGTGATGAAGAGGATGAGCAACTAGTCTATCAGGACCCCAAGTGGCTGCCCAGGAAGCCCTAATTGCCCCAGGAAGCCTACGTCCTGTCCTGGCCAATCTCCTACAACTTCTCAGAAGGCCCTCACTCCCTCCTCTGACCTTCCGCCTTCGTCCCACACATTTGCTGATCATTAGTCACTTAACTATCACTTCTAAAATCTCCTGTGGGCCAGGGAAGCACAGACCGCTGTCCTGGGTCCTTCTTGCTCTATGCCTTGGGTTACAGGGAGTCCTTTACCCATGTGTGTCTGCAGGAGTGGGGCTGGCATCTCATTTGTCCCCATGTCTAGCACAGGGCCAGGCATAGAGAGGGTCTGAGAATGAGTGAGTGAATGAATGAATGAATGAATGAATGAGGGTGTGAGTAACTGACTGGGCTGGTCAGTGTGTGAGGGAGACACTGGTGAATAGGGCAGCAGTACCATGATGAGCTGACAGCTGTGTCCTGAGACCAGCTGGGCCTTGACCCGGAACTGCTTGATGGAGAACATGGCCACAGCCCCCTCCCAGGGGGGCTTTGTGGGCCCTGCAGACACCTGCCGCCTGGAGGGAAGGACAGAGAGAGAGGGCCAGGGAGAAAGGTCATCAGGGCTTCCCCAGCATCTTTACTTTTCCAAGAAGGTCCCGTGTCCGCACTGCGGGTGTAGCACACTGGTCCAAGCACGGCGTTATGTGGGGGTGAACCAGTAGGTCGGGATGATTAGTTCTACCGCATAGACGGGGAAACTGAGACCCACGGAAGAGGTACGTTTTTTCCAAGGCCACACAGAAAGAGAAACCCATGCCAAGCCTGCTGTCCCAGGGGTGGCTTCCCCCACCTCCCTGCCCCAGCCCCACACCTGTCCGGGGGCTCCATGGGAGGTTTCTCCGAGATTTGGGGAATCTCTGGAGAGGACACAGGGTCTGGGCTTGGGGCTCTCTGGATGACATTGTCCTCCACCCTCCTTTGGCCTGGCAGCTCACACGAGGGCTTCCAGTCTGCAAACAGCAGAGGCAGGAGCTGAAACAGGGGCAGGCAGCCAGGCTGAGGCCAGCCAGAGCATTAGAGCCAGGGTTTGAAGCGGGTGATTTTTGAAGTGACCTGGGGCACAGGCACCCCCACCCTGCCACCTTCTCCCCAGGCCACACATCCCTATTACTGCTGACCCTCACCGCCCAGCCTGCCCGCCCCTCTGTGCCCTTTCTGCATCTCCCACAACCGTTGCAGATGTGGCAGCTGGGGTCGAAGAAGTGGTGCTCATGCTGCTCCGTGGGGTCCTGCTGCTCTGGGGGTTCCTCCTGCTGTTCTGTGGGTTCCTGCTGCTCTGTGGGGTCCTGCTGCTCCGTGGGGTCCTGCTGCTCTGGGGGTTCCTCCTGCTGCTCCGGGGGTTCCTCCTGCTGCTCTGTGGGTTCCTGCTGCTCTGTGGGGTCCTGCTGTTCTGTGGGGTCCTGCTGTTCTGTGGGGTCCTGCTGCTCTGGGGGTTCCTCCTGCTGCTCTGTGTGGTCCTGCTGCTCTGGGGGTTCCTCCTGCTGCTCCGGGGGTTCCTCCTGCTGCTCCGGGGGGTCCTGCTGCTCTGGGGGTTCCTCCTGCTGCTCTGTGGAGTCCTCTGACATGGCAGGCAGGGCCAATGGGCTGCAGTCTATGGACAGCATGGGTCTCTGGGAGGCACAGGGAGAAGGGGTGGCCTGGAAAGGCAGCTGGGAAGTCAGGAGCCCTCCATGAGCGGAAAGCCTCAGGGATGTGGTTTTACTCTTTCAAGTAATATGTTCTTTATTACAAAAGGACTGTGACTCGTTAAAGAAAATTTGAAAATTTTAAAAAAAATCACCCCTGTCCTGTCACTTAGAGACAACTGTTGGTACTCTGGGTATTCCTTATATTTTTTTTATATACATACAAAGGTTTTAGGGATCTTTTACTAAAATAGCTAGGATCAAATATTCAACCTGGTCCTGGCCGGGTGGCTCAGTTGGTTGGAGCGTTGTCCCATACACCAAAAAGGTAGCAGGTTTGATTCCTGGTCAGGGTGCATACCCAGATTGCAGGTTCCATCCCTGATCAGGGTGTGTATGTGAGGCAATCAATCTATGTTTCTCTTTCTCTCTCTCTCTCTCTCTCTCTCTCTCTCTCTCTCTCTCTCTCTCTCTCCCTCTCTCTCCCCCGCCTCCTCTCTCTCTCTCTCCCACCCTCCCTCCCTTCCCCCCCCTTCCTTCCTCCATCTTTCTAAAATCAATTTAAAAACAACATATCCTCAGATGAATATTAAAAATATACATATACAGGGTGTCCCAAAAAGATGTATACACACTTTGAATGATTATAAACTCAGTGTTTATTAACATACAGTTCACTTTCAAAATTTAAAAGAATCTACAGAAATTAATAATGTGTTTTGTCATTGCCTGTTTTCAAATTGATGACTATTCTGGTCCAGGCACTGCTGATAAGGTGAAGCAATGGAATCGCAAACATCAAGAATCATTTTGTTCGGTATTTGTGCGCCCTCAATTCGTCGACTGATGCCGGGTTTTGTACAGTAAACTTTATCTTTTATGTATCCCCATTAAAAAACGTCTAGTGGCACTTTAGGATAAATTTTCTTTGTTCAAAGCTTAGTCTGGCTTCACCCATTATTTCAAATCAGTTAAACCTGAAAAGGAGTGAAAATTAAGTGAGTTATCAGCTGTTAACGTGTGTATGCATTTTGGGGGGGACACCCTATATATATTCAACATTTAGAGCATACCTCAGAGATGCTGTGCGTTCCGTTCCACAATAAAGTGAATATTGCAATACAGTGAGTCACATGACTTTTCTGGTTTCCCAGTGCATATATGTTATATTTACACTATTCTGTAGTCTATTAAGTGTTCAATAGCCTTATGTGTAAAAAAAAAGGGTAGCTCAGTTGGTTAGAGCATCATCCCAGTACACCAAGGTCCAGAGTTCAATCCCCAGTCAGGGCACATACAAGAATTCATCAATGAATGTATAAAAAAGTAGAACAACAAATCGATGTTTCTCTCTCTCTCTTCCTCTCTCTCTAAAATCAATTAATAAATAAATTTTTTTTAAGTGTACCTAGCCCTAGCTGGTTTGGCTCAGTGGATAGAACGTCGGCCTGCGGACTGAAGGGTCCTGGGTTTGATTCCGGTCAAGGGCATATGCAACGGGTTGCAGGCTCAATCCCCAGTGGAGGGCATGCAGGAGGCAGCTGATCAATGATTCTTTCTCATCATTGATGTTTCCATCTCTCTCCCCCTCTCCCTTCCTCTCTGAAATTAATAAAAATATATTTTTTAAAAGTGTACCTACCTTAATTAAAAATATCTTATTGAGGTGAACACATAATACAGTATACAAGATGATGTATTATAGAATCATACACTTGAAACCTATATAATTGTATTACCAATGTCACCCCAATAAGTTCAATAAAAATTTTTATTTATAGAGCAAAGTATGAAATATAGGAAGACAATATTTCACGTATCTTGGTGTCACCAAAATAAAATTTAGGCTCCCCCAAATAAAAAGCAACAACATCATTGTTAAAAAAAAAAAGCCTAATTAATCATCATCTGAGCCTGTTGGAAAACTGGTGCCAAAAGACTTACTTGATGCAGGGTGGCCACAACCTTCAGTTTGTAAAAAAATAAAAATAAAAATGCAGTATCTGCAAAGCACAATAAAGCAGAAGCATAACAACATGAGGTCTGCCTGGAACCTCGTCGTGTCCCTGAATGACAGCAGCGGCATCTGCTGGGTCCACGGTCCCTGTGGCTGTTACACGAATGAGGTGCGTGGCAGTGTACACATCACCTCGGGCCCAGACGACTGGGTCATTCCCAGGTTTTCGCTGTTACAATTGGTTCTGAGGACATCCTTGTGCAAGGACATATTTTCCTAAACTTTCAACTATTTCCCTAGGACAAGTTCTCTAAGCTGATGACAGAATCAGGGAGAATGGTCATTTTTAGGACTCTTGATGCCCATGGCCAAATCGCCTTTCTTCGTCATAACAGAAGCAGCTTTAAACACAAACTAAACATTGTCTTAGGAAGATTCAAGAAGATTTTAACCTTGCCCGGCTGGCATGGCTCAGTGGTTGTATGTCGACCTGTGAACCAGGGGGTCCCAGGTTCAATTCCCAGTCCGGGCACATGCCCGGGTTGTGGGCTCCATCCTCAGTGTAGGGCGGGCAGGAGGCAGCCGATCAATGATTCTCTCTCATCATTGATCAGCTTCTCTCTTTCTCGCCCCTTCCCCCCACTCCATCTCTGAAATCAAGAAAAAAAATTTTTTTAAAGATTTTAACCTCTACTTTTGCCCTAAAAACCATCTCCAGAGTAGTGCCAAGGCCCAGGCTCTGGAGTCAGACAGCCTGGCTTCAAATCTCATCTCCCCCCTGCCAACTAGGTGACCTGGGCAAATGGCTTCAGGTTCCTCATCCAGGAGTACATTTCAGCAAGGAGTCAAGACTGTTGTGTGTTACTTCCCTCCCCTCCTCTGCCACCCCCTACTCTTCCCCTCTCTCTTCTCTCCAGGTCTTCCTAGCTCCTCCCCTGCACTTACATTCAATCTATTCAGGGAATACAGATTGGTTTTGGTTGGAGAGCAGCCACATCCCCGCGGGCTCCTCTCTGCACAGGCAGCAGCTCTGGTGGTTGGCCTGGATGTTGACTGGGAGAAGCAGGAACCTTGTCTGTCATGCTCACTGCCATTTCCCCAGTGAACACGGCTCCAGGGACCTTCCCTGCACTCCCCGTCCTGGACACACAGCTGATCAGACTGGTGTGAACATCTGACCCACACAACACCCAACAGGAGCGGGCGCCTCTGAGAGTGACGGGAGGGAGCCCCGGGGAGCTCTGACAGCTGCAGGAGGCTGAGCTGGTGGGCTCACTGACTGGGATGGAGGGCTGCTGAGCCGCCGTGTCGGGCCATGTGCAAGGTGCAGGGGCCAAGCAGGAGGAGGGAGCCGGATGGACAGGAGGACAAAGCAGATCCCCAGCGATAAGAGGATACTCTGCACCGACTGCCCTGGGATCTGGGTGCTTCCCCGCCTGAAGCACCCCTAATTCCTTCTGCCAAGTAGAGCAGGTCTGCTCCTTCCAGGCACAGAGAGACTGCCTCCAACAGGGTATCTGGGGGGAACTGCGGGGACAGGACCACTCACGTGGGGTCCCTTGGGGTTAGGTCAAAAGGAGAGGGACCGGCACTGAGGACGAGCTGCCAGGCCCTGGGTCGGGGGCTGCCTGGCCCCAGGCTCACCTGGACTCTGCGTGGTAGATCATTACCCAGCTTTACAATGAAGACGGTGGGCCGCACAGTGGCCAGGTGATGTGCCCAAGGCCACACAGCTGGCGAGGTAAGGGGCACAGGCCCTGCCCAGCACCAGGCCAGGTTCCGCTTACCACCAGGTCCTCCAGGGTCAGCATCTGGTCCGTGTCCCGCAGGATCTCGACTTCACCCTTGTGGGTCAGCTTGGAGGTCGGAAGGATGCACAGCTCCCTCTGTTGCTGCTCAATGATCTCCAGGCCCTGTGGGGTGGAGCAGCCCTCGCTCAGCCAGATTCAGGAGGGTCTCTGGCCCCAAGAGCCCCAGTGCTCACCGTCCTCCCTCGAGGCCCCTCTCCTGTGGTCCTTTCCATGCTGGCCTTTTCCCTCCCCACACTTTTGCTCTTGCCATTCCCCTCCCCCGGAAAGCCCTCCACCCCAGCCCTCTCTCTCCACAGTCCACTCATCCACCCTCCAGCACAAGCCCTGCTCCTCAGCACGCCCTGAACTTCGCCTGCACCAGCACAGTCAGTTCTGCTCCTGAGTGCACCCCACCATCTGTCCTGGGAGGCGCGCAGGCTCCGGAGTGCCAGGTGGGCTATTAATATAAGAGACCCACACGGTAGTGGCCTTGGGCAAGCGCTTTACTGCTCTAAGCCTCGTATTTTCTCTTCTCTGGGGATTAAACTAAGAGCATTATATTAAACAGCATACGTAGGGTACTCCGCCAGAGCCTGGCTCATAGTAAAGACTTAGTATTGATCAATGCCATCCTATCTGAAATGTTTCCTGAAAGCCTGTCCCTCCCTTTCTAGCCACCCCGGAGGGCCGGGCCCCGTCCGCCCTGGCAGTGCGGGCTTCGTGCGCGAGGCTCTGGGGCAGCTGCGCAGGCTCTGTGCTTAGACGGGCCCGTGCTTAATGCCCTTGTCATCTTGAAATTCTTAATCGTGTTGAACAAAGGGCCCCGCATTTTCACTCAGCACCTGCCCCCCCGATGGTGCAGCTGGTCCCGCTCCCTGGTCCCCACGGGGCCTGGACAGAAGTTCAGGCTGTAGTGCAGAGATTCACCTAGTGGATTCTAGTTATTCATTCTAATCAGTGTCTACCAGGACGGGAGCCTTAGCACTCACCCCATCCCATGGCCCCGCTCCCTAGATCAGTCCTTCCCTCTCTCACTGGGCCACAAAAACCGCTACACAAATCCCCTAGGCCAGCTCGGTGCCCACACCTTCCCTGCCCCTGAACAGTTCCCAGGGAGGGGAGACCATGGACACAGGGTATATGGGGCTATAACTGTGAAGTGTGGGGACAGGGGGTCTCTCACCCAGTCTGAGGCACCAGGAATGGGAACAGGGGCACCCCAGGGGTCTACTCCCCATGGATGGCAGATGTCAATCATGAACTCTAGAGTCTGGACCAGCCGTGGGCAAACTACGGCCTGCGGGCCGGATCCGGCCCGTTTGAAATGAATAAAACTAAAAAAAAAAAAAGACCATACCCTTTTACGTAATGATGTTTACTTTGAATTTATATTAGTTCACACAGACACTCCATCCATGCTTTTGTTCCGGCCCTCCGGTCCAGTTTAAGAACCCATTGTGGCCCTCGAGTCAGAAAGTTTGCCCACCCCTGGTCTGGACCATCATCCCCAAGCCCACCCTCCCCCCAAGCCCAGCTTCACGGAAAAGCAAGTGGAAGGCAACACCTCTCAGGGGTGTCGCTCCCCTACCAAGCTCTCCATCCCTAACCCCTTTCCTCTCTGCCGCTTTTCCTAACTTTTTTGGTGGAGTCTCTCTGGCTCGCTCCCTGTCTGCCTGCTCTCTCTTTTCGTTTCCTCGTTTCTATGTTTCTCTCCACCTTGTGTTCCCCGTGTCTCACCACCTTCCTCCTCCCTCTCTGTCTCTCTCTCCCTGCTCCATACTCGGGTCACCCCTCCGCACCACCCCCCATCCTGCCACCTGTCCTGACCTGACCCCAAACCTCACCCTTTTCTCCTCCTGGTCCCGCCAGCGGGCCAGCTCTTGGGGGGCCAGCTGGATTGAGTTCATCCGCACCAGGCCGTGGGGGGTGACATCGCCATGAACCACTTTGAGAAACAGGTCCTGCAGGGCAGGGCAGGGGCAGGGGCTGCACCACACCACTCAGAGCCCCACCCGCTCAGAGGCCGGGCTGTGTGCCGCGGAGGGGCCGGCCCAGCCCCCGGTCCCGCTCACGGGGTTCCTGGGGTCGCGCAGGTTGAACAGCAGGCTGCGGTACTTGGTCTTGTAGCGGCAGTTGGTGGCTTGTGTCAGGTCGAAGAGGGCTGCCTCGATGCCAGCAGCGATGCCCTCTACCACCTCCTTACTCAGCGCCACGTCTGGGAGCTCCCGGAGGCTGTGGGGGACACGGCCCTGAGCTGTGAGGTGGCCCAGGCCCTCGGCTGGCAGGGAGAGATACGGTGGGAGGCAGGGTCTGGGCCAACTCTGTTTTGATTCTGGGCATTCTCCTACCTGGGCCCATTTATTCTCACCCCACCTCTCTGAGGAACACGTGTTATCAGTCTCCATTTGCAGAAGGGGCGACTGAGGCTCAGGGAAGGTAAGGGGCTTGCCCTATGCCACATGATTAGTGGCAAAGCAAAATCTGACTGCTCAGCTCACGCTCTAGCCCTGGCCAGTGGGACTGGGAAAGTATAAGGGGAGACAGCCTCCGGGAGGGGAGGGCATCAGCCAAGGCAGAGGACGGAGCCCTGGCCGTGGGTGAAACCTTGAATCTGCCATTGATTTGCTGGGTGGCTTTTTATTTTTTATTTTTTTTAATTCGTTTTTGTGCTATCAGAGAGGAAGGGAGAGGGAGACAGAAACACCAATGAGAGAGAATCATTGATTGGCTGCCTCCTGCATGCCCCCTACTGGGGATCAAGCCCGCAACCCGGGCATATGCCCTTGACTGGAATCGAACCCTGGACCCTTGAGTCCACAGGCCGACGCTCTATCCACTGAGCCAAACTGGCAAAGGCTGCTGGGACTTTGCAAAGTGCCGCCCTCCCTAGACCTTGGTCCCCCCATTGGTAAATGAGAGCCTGGGCTCAGATCTCTGAGATCCCACCACAGTTTCATTATATCTGAAAACATTTGCTGTGGTGACACCCACAAGGACCTGAGCAGACCCTGAGCCACAGGGGCTTAATGGGAAAGCGCAGCCTTGAAGCCACAGAGGCCCAGGGTCAAGTTCGTCTCTCTTCTCACTCTTTGCGTGGGCAAGTGACCTCACGGCTACAAAATGGGTTCGTCATACACACAAAAGCCCTTGGAAGACGGGTGGGAAACACCCTGCCCTCTGGCCATATGAGACCTGCGAAATCATTTGGTCTGGCCCTGCCATGGCACTCGGGGTGAGTTAATTAAATGTCTGACCAACTATAGCAGGCTATATTTTTTATAGCAGGCTAATTTTTAAGTATAATTTTGTATGGCCCGCGAATGATGTTATGAATATCCAAATGGCCCTTGGAGAAAGAAGGTTCCCCACCCCTGCCTCAGAACACAGCATGGCCCAGGGAGGTGGTGGTAGCCGTCAGGGGTCAGGGAAGTGGGGAGCAGGCCTTACCGACTCCACAGCACCTTCCGCATGACGCGGACCACAGTGTGCCGTACCCCAATGTCCTTTTGGAGCTGAAGCTGAGCTGTGAAGAAAAAGGATCAGGGTTCCCCAGGGGATGCTCGGGGGCAAGGGGAGGAAGTGACTCCGTGCTGAGGGGCTTAGGCAGGGAAAGGAGGGGTCCAGTCTCAGGGACCCTGTCCCACCCCATCTGCCTGAGAGCTGAGCCCAGGCAGCCATCAGCCCCTACCTCTTTGGGGAAGGACTAGAAGCTGACTGGGGGGTGAGGGGAGAAAAGACATATCCTGTCTCCAGGGACTGCTGGGCACCAGCCCCCTTCAGTCCCCACCAGTCCTCGGAAGACGGGCGGCCCCTCACCTGAGTCCTCTTCCCAGTCCTGTTCCTCGGGCTCCTCCTCTTCAGACTCCACTGGACTGGACTGTGGGGGAGGGGGGACTGAGGCCAGGTGGCTGGGTCCAGCCCGCGGCTCGCAGGGACACAGCTCCCCAGCCACACCCCCTCTCCCACATTCTCCCTGAAGGAGGCTGCATGACAGGGGCAGGCGCACTCACCCCCGGCCACTCCGCACGGGCCTCCTGAACATCAGGAAGCCCCTCCTGCAGGAGAAAGAGTATGTGGAGGAGGAGTGGGGTCCCTGGGGGCCAGGGAGCCACTCCCAGATGGCGGAAGGGGTCAGCGACGCCACCAGAGCCCCACTCTGTTCCTCCTGAGGGAGGCAACCAGGAGAACTTGGGGCGGCCAGGAGCAAGCAGCACGCAGACCCCCGGCGCGGGCCAGGTGGCGGCCTAACCCTCTGGCCGTTGCCTGCTATGTGACCGGGAGCAACAGCATCTCTCTGGGCTGCAGTGGCCACTCTGAGAGTCAGTGTGAGGGTGTCTCTCTCAACAGGATTGAGAGACTTCGCCTAAGTGAAGAACCACATTCCATTCGTGAAACTAAAACGCGCGTGTTCTGTACCTGGCACCAAGTGGGGCCGTGGGCCTGGCGCCTTATCTTCCTCCTGGGCCTCTGGGCAGGTGAGGCTGCACTGACCTCCATCATGTTCTCCAGGGCCTCCAGCTTCAGCGGCCCCGACCCCCCTGCCTGCCCGTGGCTGATGGCCCCCAGGAGGTGGATCACCTCCCCGGAATCCAGCTGCAGGGGGAGAAGAGCCGTGCGGGCGGGGCTCACCTCAAAGTGCTTATGTTGCACCCTACCCCCACCCCCCACTACCTTCCCACCCCCACCCCCGCCGACTGCACTCTAAGCTCCAGAGAACACTATTCCCGAGGCCTACTAAAGGCCTGGCACACAGTAGGGTCAATCGCGGCTTGCTGTCTGGACTGTGTCACAGGAGAGGAGCCCATCTTCTTTCCAACCTCTCTCTCATCTTCCCCGCTCACGCCCAGACACATTCAAAGTTGACTGAACCCTTCTCACCCTCCTGATTCTAGACACATCTCATCAGGGGGGATGTGGAGGTCAGAGTGGGGTCCTGGTCTTCTAATGAGCTAAGCATCTGTCCTGCTCTCCTGTTCGCTATGGTTGCCAGAAGCTCAAGATTGTGTGTGTGTGTGTGGGGGGGGGGGGGGTTGTAACAAGATTTCCCTTTCTCCTTCCCTTTTCTTGCTTTCTTTAGGCTTCAATCGCGCTTTAAGTGTGTTTTGATTCATTTGCTTTATTGCAAACTATGGGGAATTGTTTTGAAAGCAAGTGGGTCTGAAAAGTAATCCTTGAATAAATGACCATGAATGGTCAGGTTCCAAGGTCTGGGGGAAGGTGGAAGTCTGAGATTCGGCATCACAGGGAGTGGGAGCACTAGGGGGCTCTGGCAGGGGGCAGGCCAGGGGGCTGGGGTTGCCGCTAATTGGAGGAGCCCCCATCCCACCAGACCTGGGGAGAGGGAGGAAGAAGGGCTGTAATGAAAAGTAAAGACCTACGTAGCACACACGCTTCACCCCGCGGGGCATCTTCGTTTCCTCCTTGGAGAGAAAGAGGAGGCAGAGGTTAGAATGCAGAGGATCTGGGGACCCACAGAGGTGAAAGATGTACGTTCAGTGATCGCTGCATTGGTATTTATAACCAGAAAAAATTGAGTACAATCTAATGTTCATCAGAGAGGAATGGTTAAGCCCTGGCCGGTGTTCTCAGTGGTTAGAGCATCAGCCCGAGCACCTGGTTTGATTCCTGGTTAAGGGCACATACCTGGGTTTCCGGTTCACTCCCCAATCCTGATCGGGCATGTACAGGAGGCAACCAATCAATGTGTCTCATTCACAGCGATGTTTCTTTCTCTCTCTCTCCCTCTCCCTTTCTCTCTCTCTCTCTCTCACCCTCCCCCCCTCCCTCCCTTTCTCCACCCCCCCCCTCCCGCCCATCCTTTCTATTCTCTCTAGAAATCAATAAAAAAATATCTTCAGGTGAGGATTTAAAAAAATAATCAAATTTAAAAAGGAGGGATGGGTAATAAAAAGTGACGTGTCATACTATGGAGTCTATGTGGCCATTAAAAGGGGTGAGTCATATCCTTAGCTGATTTGGCTCAGTGGATAGAGCATTGGCCTGCAGACTAAAGGGTCTCAGGTTCAATTCCAGCCAAGGGCACATGCCTGGGTTGCAGGCTCAATCCCCAATTGGGTGCAGGAGGCAGCCAATCAATGATTCTCTCTTCACTGATGTTTCTATCTCTCTCTTCCTCTCTGAAATCAATATATATATATACATATTTTTAAAGGTGAGTCATAATATAAACTACTATTCATCAGGTGCTTAGAAGGTAGCTGGCCCTGGAGGAAGCACATCACATGTAATCTTATGAAGGTCTCAGAACAACACTAGGAGGTGTGTACTATTTCTATCCCCATTTTACAGATTAGGAAACTGAGGCTCAGAGAGGATCTGAAAAGTCCCATAGCTCCTAAGCAGTGGAGCTAGGATCAGAACTTAGTTCTGTCTGCCTCAAAGCCCAGGCACTAAGCTGCTGACTTATGCAGCAGCACTGACTGATACGGTAAGATGTCATGCTGTACTATTAGGAGAATAAGAATAGCTGACAGAATAGTATCTGTTGCATAAGCCCATTTATGTAAATACGTAGTTATAGTTGCATAATAGAGGTTATCTCTAGGGAATGAAATTGCTGGGGTGGGGGTTTGCTTTCCACATATAGGCACTTGGGCATTTATGTTACTTAAAATGAGCACGTATTTCTTTTATAACCGGAAACATTTTTTTTTTTTTTTTACTGAAACACAAGTTCAGAACAATGTGTGTCGTGTGCTACCATTGCACTAAAAAGAGAGAAAAAGACTTTTTAAATTTGTATTTGCTTGACTCTGCATAAAATATCGCTGGAAGTATCCACCAGAACCTAATAAACGAGGCTGCCAATAGGAAAGGGACTGGGAGCTGGGAAGGAAACTTTTCACTTTTTTTTTTAACCATGGGAATGAATCAGCCTTTTAAAAAAATAAAGTGAGAAGGGGGGTGGGGGGAGAAAACGGGACACCTGGGACGGAAAGCAGGAACGATATTAAGGACAGCCCTTCACAATTTAAAACCTTTCGGCAGGCCCCATCTCAGGGTCCGCATTGCAGCATTAGGAGGCTCCAAACAACACAGCAATCAGACCAGCAAAGACTTTAGGAACTGGATTTATCAGATCAAAATACAAAATACATATATATAACATGTTTAACAAAATAAAAGGAGTTGAACATAACCAAAAAAAAAGGCAAAAGATATATAAATTTTTCAAATGATCAAGCATGCCATGACTGGTGTAGCTCAGTTGGTTGGAGTGTCATGCTGTACACTGAAAGGTCGCAGGTTCAATTCCTGGTCAGGGCACATACCTAGGTTATGAGTTCGAACACCAGTCAGGGTGTGTACAGGAAGCAACCAATCTATGCTTCTCTCTCCCTTCCTCTCTCTCTAAAATTGATAAATATATCCTTGGGTGAGGAATTTAAAAAATGATCAAGCAGATTTGATGGGGACCCAAATGCAAATTTTGGGAATGGAAAATATGCTAATAATTAAAATGGAAAACTCAACATATAGGTTTAATAGCATATTAACACAACGGAAATAAGTTAGTGAACTGGAAGATAGATTTAATAAGTTACTGAGACTATTCACAGCACAAAGACGGTGAGACACAAAGAGACACTAGAGATAGAGTGAAAAGGACTAATTAACCTAAAGTCCCAGGAGAGAAGAGAGAGAATGGGGCAGAGGTACTGTTTGAAGATCTATGGCTAAAAATTTTCCTGAATTGATCAAAGACAGCAATTCACAGATTCAAAAAGCTCAGTGAATTTCAAACTGGATAAGTGAAAGCAAATCCACACCTGGACAAATCATAATGAAACTGTTCAACACCAATGATAAGGAGACCCTGAAAGCATCAAGAAACAAAAATAACAGCTAACACGTAAATAGCACTGAAAAGGCACTATAACTGTTCTGCATGGTGTACATGCTAGTTCACTCAATCCTCACCACAGCTATGAGCGGAGCACTGGTACCATTATTGTCCCCATTTTTCAGAAGAGAAAACTGAAGCCCAGAGAGGTTGGTTAGTCACGCAGTTAGTAAACCAGAGCCTGGATTTAAATCCAGGCAGTCCGATGCCAGGGGCCACGCCTGCAACCACTCCTCTACAATGCCTCTCACCAGGAGACCTTTTACTTACCACAGAATGACAATTAGACAAACAGCTAACTTCTCGATAGTAATGTGGAAGGCAAAACACAGCAGAATGATAGTTTCAATGAGCTTAAAGAAAATAACTATCAATTGTGGACCCAGACAAAATCTTTTCTGAGAATGAGGATAAAATAAAAACACCGTAGAGAAAAGCGAGTTATTGTTTTTCTTGATAATTTAATTTTTTTTCAATAACCAAAATGTTAAAGGATGAACTTGAGGCAGAAGAAAGGAAAAATGATCCCAGGTAGAAACGCTGAGATGCAAGGAGAAATCTTGAGCAGAGAAAATGATAAATATGTTGTTAAATCTAAACCTACATGGACTTATGATTCTATAATAACAATGTGTAGTTTGTAGAATTAAAGAAACAACTTAGGACTAACTCACTGGATAAGAGCAGCACATAAATTGGGAAGGTTCGTCCTGGCCGGTTTGGCTCGGTGGATAGAGCGTCGGCCTGCGGACCAAAGAGTCCCAGGTTTGGTTCCGATCAAGGGCATGGACCTCAGTTGCAGGCTCCTCCCTGGCCCAGGCCCTGGTTTCTCTCACATCGATATTTCTCTCTGTCTTTCTCTCTCTCTTCCACTCTTTAAAATCAAAAGGAAAATATCCTCAAGTGAGGATTTAAAAAAGAAATTGGGGGAAGGTTCATGCTTGGAATTAAAGCATCCCAGGATCCTTATATAATTTCAGAGGAAGATAAAGATGTAACTACCTTTATACTTTGGCAAGTGAGGTATTCATGTTAAAATTTCTAAAATAGCCACCAAAAGAATATAAACAGGGCACAGAAAACTTCCAATCTTCTAGAGAGACAGAAAAAGAATAAGAAAAAAAATCAATCTAAAAGGAGGAAATAAAAGGGGAAAAGTATAGAAAATGCAGGATATATGTAAAACACAAAATAAGACAGTAGGATTAGATTCAAATAAATCAGTAATTACAACAAATGTAGGTGGACAAATACTTCAGACAAATAAAAATAATTATCAAACCTTTAACAAAGAAAGCCCAATTATAAGATGTTCAGAAGACCCATTTCTAAAATACAGCAATGCAAAAGACTGAGAGGAAAAAATGGAATAATATGTGAACAGGCAATTACCAACCAAATACAGGTTTGTAGCTATATTAACATCAGATAAAACGGCAAAAAAATAACTAGAAGTGCTCTGGCTGACTCAGTTGGTTGGAGCGTTGGGCCATATACCAAAAGGTTGCAGGTTCAATTCCAGGTCAGGGCATATACCTAGGTTTCGGGTTCAATCCCCAGTCGGGGCGGTATGGGAGGCAACTGATCAATGGATGTTTCTTTCTCTCTCTCTTTCTCTCTCTCTCTCTCTCTCTCTCTCTCTCTCTCTCTCTCTCTCTCTCTCTCTCTCTCCTCTCTTCTCTTTAAACATATCCTCGGGTGAGGATTAAAAAATAACAGAAGCAAAGACCTGACTACATAAGGCTCCAACCTGCCTCCTGCCTCTACCAGTGGTTCTCAACCTTCCTAATGCCGCGACCCTCAAATACAGTTCCTCGTGTTGTGGTGACCCCCAACCATAAAATTATTTTTGTTGCTACTTCATAACTGTAATTTTGCTACTGTTACGAATCGTAATGTAAATATCTGATATGCTATATGTGTTTTCCAACGGTCATGACCCACAGGTTGAGAACCGCTGCTAGACCTTTGCACATGCTTGGTACACCCTTTCTACCTTGTCTACCTGCTGAACACCTGCTTCCTTTGCCCAGGCCCAGCTCAGACAGCCCCTCCTCTGCCCTACCCTAGCTGAAAACCCTCCCACCCACCCCTTCCCAGGAAAGACTCAATTGCCCTCTAGGTACCCAGGGTCTGCGGGACTTCAGTCTGTATCTTGACTCTCTGGTGACTTATCTTCCACTTGCCGCTTGTTGAAGAAATTATAATAAAGTCCCATACAAATCCAAACCCTTAGCCAGGCCTTTGGCAGCCTGGCTCAGAGCGTGGACTCTGGAGTCTTGCAGGCCTGGATTTAACCCGGCCACACCGCTCACTTGCTGTGTGACCCTGAGTGGGCCACATGCCTTCTCTGAATCCAAGATTTCTTATTTGGCAAAGCAGAGGTACGAACACTGACTTCTAATGCTATGGTGAGGACTAAGTATGAGATGATGATATATGTGAAGCTCCTTGTATACAATAACTCAAAAAAAGGAGCTATTCTTAGGTTGTCCATCTGTTGGAAAGACACAGTCCTCCCTCACACGCCTTCTGACACTTTGCAGCTACACAGGACCCCGGACTCTGGGAACCTGGGTGGGGCCGAGCAGCTCTGTGCCTCCCTGGCTGTGGTGGGCAGAGCTGCCTTCCCCATGTCCCCTGCCTTCCACAGAGCAGCTCCAGACCTCACTGACCACTGCGGGGCTCAGGACAGAGAAGAAAATGGCGTCTCCACCCCCTCCCCCGCCCCTCCAAGAGTCTCTACTTCAAGCCAGAGGAATTCAACATGACCAACCTCACACCCCAGATTCCCAGCAGTTCTGGGGCCCAGCTGACTCCCCCATTTTGTAGAGGAAGAAACTAAGATTCAGATGAGAGACATCTCTCATCCGAAGCAAGAAACAGAGTCTGACCTTGAACCCATCTGTCTGCCCCTGGCACAAGCCAGGCTGGCCCCCGGAGAAGATGCTAGGGCCCAAAGAGGGGCTCCGGACCAGCTGGGCACTCTGCCCATGCCCCACTCAGCCCTGTCCTCAACCACCTGCCCGTCCCTGTCATGCCCAGCCTCCATTCTCCTGCAGCTGCCACCAGTTGCCATGGCAACGGGTTATTTGGGAAGCTGTGGGATGCTGGGCTGGGCTGCAGAGTCAAGGACGGGGCCTGGAGGCGAGAGCAGCCGTGGGCGCCTTCCAGGCGAGGCGGGCAGGCACCTGGCTCCACCACCCAGTTCAGACTAGCCCCTCAGAACGCTGTGCGCCCAGGAGTCCCCATGCTGGGCACCTGGCCCCGATAACTAATGTGACATGGGGAGGAGCCAGATGCTCAGCGATGTTCACCCCAGCATGACTCAGAGCAGGACGGAACTGTGTGAACAGCAGGTAACGTTTCTGAATAGCGTCCTCACACTGGGCACCTTGCTAAATGCCAAGCACACGCCATCTTCTGCTCCGAGCCTCCATCCTCGGAGATGTCCCCGGAGGTGAAGTCGCTTGCCTGGGTCACTCCGATAGGGGCAAAGCCAGGACCCAATGCCTGGCTGGTGGCCTCCAGGCCTTGTGCTCTGAGCCACACTGCAGAGGTAGGAAATGAGAAAAGGAAGTCCCGGCCCATCCTCCGGTCCTAGCAGGGCCTGTGACAAGTATGTCCGTAGCTGCTGTGATGCAGGCTCGGGGATTCGCCAAACAATAGCACCAACTAGGAAAGATCTTCAAATGCTACAGCGCGTGGAGAGTAGACCGAGTACAGGGCCTGGAACAATGAGGCGCAGGATGAGCCTCCTTACAGACAGGAAGGCACAAGGTGCAGGTGTTCACATATGTATGGAGTTCATAGAGAGCAGGCAGGAAAGACTGTTCACATGGTTATCTCCACAAAAGGCAAGGGGTTGGGCGGCATTCAAAGGGATTTCCTCGTTCTGTGCTAACAATTAATGGGGGGGGGGGATTAAATACCAAAAATCAAGTTATAAAAAATTTGGCACACGTGACCCCATTTCTAGGCAAAGAAAAGATATATATACATAGGAAAAAGATGGGAAAGAGGACATATACCAATATGTCACCAGGAAATAGCCCTGAATGTTGACATTATGGGAATTTTTATTTTTCCTTTCTTTTCTATGATAAACACACATTCTTTTTTTTTATTAAAAACTAATGTGTTTGAGTGATGCTTGCAAAGACAATGTAACCGCCTTCTCATGTAATTACAGCACCAGATGGGGGTAAATCTCACAGGCAGCTCGCTGCTTCCTGTGCCAGTGCTACTAATCTGCTGTTTGGCCTTGAACTAGCCATTTCACCTTTCTGAGCCTCAGTGTCCACCTCAGTAAAATGGGTTTATATCAATGGCATCTACTTCATAGGGTGGTTAGGAAAATTGAAGATCAAGTGCTTGGAACAGCGCTTAGCACACAGTAGGCAGGCTAGGTACTATTGCTGATCGTGACGGCAGTAATGTTGCCCAGTAGCACCCCTCCCCAGCAGGGAAGGTGCACCAGCAGGCCGTGCCGCGAGCTCTCAGGACAGACGGCCTATGTTTGCATCCTGGCTCCGTCATTTTACCAGATGTGGGACCTGGGACCTGTTAGCTTGCCTCTCCGGGCTTCATGTGAAAATTCAATCAAAAGCGCCTAGCACACGATACCTATTCAACGAGTGGGATAAAAATCAACTATGGGAGAAGCATACGCCAAAAGCAGGGAGTGCCGTCTCCTGCCTTTGCTGTGTAAACACGTTCGCTATGGTTCTTAATAAAACGGCGATTATTACAAGTAAAAGAACAATACAGGGAACATGAATAGGCACTGACTCCCTCGCTGTGTGTGAGCTTGGAGACGTTTGTGAACTTCCCTGAGCCTCAGTTTCCCCACCTGGACACACAGAGCCAGTGCCCACTTTATAGGCAATTGCTGACACCCAAGCAAAAGCCAATTTGACATAAATGAAGTAATTTGCCTTGTGCCATCTGCTGTGCTAGGCACATTGTTTTATGCCGTCATCTCACTTAGTCCATTAAAGTGAAATTAGCATTTCCTTTTTGCAGATGAAGACACAGAGAGATTAAAAAATATTCCAATGTCACTCAGCTAGGAGGTGGGCAGAGGCAAAATCTGAACCCAGGACTTACCAACTCCACAAGATACTGACCACTGACGAGATGTCCGCAAGTGTCGTTTACTTTCAGCCTCCTGACTTGGTGGGCCTTCGTGTAGTCAGGTGTAAAATGGGCATGTGGGACAAAGGTCATTAAGAGTCCACCCCGCTCAGCTCTATTAAATTCCACCACCAAGCATGGCATTGAGAGACTGGCCTGGCCCTTCCTATCCCCACCTCTCAGGCTCAACGTACCAGTTTGGGGAAGCCTCCTGGGCGGGATGCCGCCGGCGGGTCGTGGCTGAGGTTGTCGGAGCTTCTGTCTGCGCCCAGGTCCTCGGCGGGGGGCGCTGGGCCCCGCCCCAGCTTAGCACACTTGGATCTTCTCTGCCCCATGAATGGACCCGAGCGAGCCTTGCTGGCTGCAGACTCTGGGGAGCCGGCAGGGGTGTCAGTGAGAGCAGGGAGTCCTTGCCCGGGCCTCCCCCTGGACACTGGCCAAGCCTTGACCTCCAGCTCCTCCCGGTTGTGTGAGGCAGCAGGGCCATCCTCACCGCCAGCCCCCACAACGACCTGCTCAGCTGCCCGCTGCCCTGTGGACGCCTTCCCAGACACTCCCGGGCACGGTGCGGGGCTCTGGGGCGGATCCTGGGCAGCTGGCCTGAGGGACAGCCCGCCACTGGGCAGTGGGAACTGGACAGGGCCGTAGGGGCTGCCTGGTTGGGCCCCATCCTCCGCCTCGGGCACATCCCACACAACTTCCACCCGAATCTCTTGGCCCAGACCCCGTGTCCTTGGGAGGAAGAGGGCTGCAGGGGCCTCCCAAGGACTCCAAGTCAGCTCCTTGGGGGGGGTCTCCCACCCACTGGGGGTTGTCCCCACCAGGGCTCTGACCAGCCCCCAACCCATCCTCTGAGCAGGTCTCACACTCCCTGCTTCTCTTTCTCGCCCGAACAGGGGCTGAGCCTAGTGAGGGTGGCGGTTCCCGTGGGGGGCTTCTCCCATCACACCCTGGAGAACGCCCACCTGCTCCAGCCTCTCGGGGCCGGGGGCAGCTCGCCTTCTCTGCCTCTGCTGGCCTCGCCCTGCCAGCCAGGGCTCTCTCTGGGAGGCCCGCAGACACGCTGCAAAGATTCCTGGCCCAGTCCTCATCCAAGATGCTGTGCAGGGAAAGCTGGAGCCTCTTAGAGGCCGGAGGCCGTCCCTGAGCAGGCGCGGTGGGCAGCTGGGTGTGGAGCCCGGGACCAGGCACCGGGCCCTGGCTCTGCCCCGCCACCGGCAGGTCCAGGACCACCACGTCGGCCTTGGCCTTGGCGCGGGCCCGGGGCGCACCCTCGGCCGGGGAGCCGGCACCGCGGCGGGCCTCCTCCCCGAGCGCCCGCCTCCTCCTGCCGGCCGCCAGGCCCGCCGCGGAGCCGGCTTCCTCCGCGTCCTTCTGGAAAAGCCCGCGGCTGCGTCGGGGACTGGGAACGGGCCCCTCCGTGCGGGGGCCCCTGGCAGCCCCTTCCTGAGACATGGCTGCCCCCCTAGAGGGGCCGAAAGCAGCGCGCGGGGCCTGTGAGGAGAGAGAAGAGGCTTCATGGTGGAGGCTGACTCCCGATCGGGACGCCGGGCCACCGGGAACCGGGGAGACGCTCAGCCGCCCGTCCAGGTGCCCGCCAGGCCCTGCCCGCTCCCGAGGCCTGGAGGCCAGAGATGCCGGCCCCGGGGACGGGGACAGGCCTGCCGCCAAACAGGGCTGGGCGACAGCCACCTGAAGGCCTTCCCAGCGGAGGCTTACACTTCCGCCCCAACGGGCTGTGATATTAGCAATGACCCGTTATTGATTACTCGTCTCTGAGCATCATTCCGTTTCACACTGGCAGCCACAGGTGAGGAGACGGACGCAGAGACGTTTAGTGACTCGCCCAGGGACGGGCCGTGGGAGGGAGCGCCGGTCTCCTCTCTCCATCTTGAAGCCCAGCTCTCAACCCTCCGCGGACACCCAGGGGGTCCGTCCCCAGCCCCTGCCCAGCCCCTGCCCAGCCCCTCACGTCGGTCCTGTCCTGCGAGACACCCCAGCCCGGTGCCCAGGCCTGACAAGGACAGACTCCTACCGCTCAGGGAACTCGGCTCCAAACCGTCCAGAAGCTCCCACTCGGAGTCCCCCGGCGCCCCCATTCCAGGGTTCCACCCCCAGCTGGGAAGGGGCTGGAATCACGTGACGCAAGGAGCCCTGGGTGAGGGATGGGGCGCAGGCTCCAATGAGACGCCAAGGACGGTCCCTGCACGTGCCGACGCCGTGGCACCAGCAGAGGGCGCGCTCTCCCTCCCGTCCTCGGGCTCCCGCGGAGGCAGGTAGGTGGGCGGGTGTCTGAAGCCAAAGGTGGCCCGAGGGCCTTGACTGTCTGAGTGTGTGACCTTGCTCCCCGGGTGATGGGGAGTGGCTGAACGAGCCTGAAGCCCTAGGCAAATGTCGGAATCAGATCTACAGTTTTGCCTAATTAGTTGCTATTTTAATTATTATGGCAAATATGAAAAGATAATTCACAGAGATAAAAATGCACATGGAAGCCAACTATAAAAGTTAGACATCAAAACTTTAACATGTCCTCTCATTTCCCAACTCAGGAGCAGCCTTGCTTTTTTTCCTTTCTTTCTTTTTTATTTTATTTTATTAGGTTGTCATTTTAGTTGTTTGTTTATGTCACTTCCGTAACTGTGAATAATGTCCTCACACTGGTGCTTGATGTGTTGGTGTTAGCAGTATCGACTGATTCCCTGCTGTGGGATTTCATTAACCATCCTTTTCCCCTTTCTCCTCCCCAATTTTTTATATTCGTATTTGTAGTTTTTCTATTGGTTACAATTATAATTTTAAATAATAATCTTAACTGTTTCTTCCTTAGATTGTATCTTTTGATTTTCCTCTGTGTGAAATGAATAATTTCCCCTCCCCACTTCTGCCTTCCTCCATCAACTCAATTTTTACTTTTACTTTGTGAAGGTTTGGAGTATGTACATTCTATTCTGTAAAAAGTGGTTCAGTTTGCCATACTTTGCCTCTAGATTGATTCTTAACATTGAAAACCAGACGACATTTTATAACATTACTACCATGTGAGTATTTTCACTGCTGAACTCAGTTTGGATGGACCTCCCTAAGAGGAAGATGGGATTCCGGGCACTAAAGCCTGGGCCATGGGACACCACGAAAAGCTTCCAGGTTCACGGAATACTACGCTGCAGTGAGAATGAATACGTTAGATCCACACACCAACATGGATGCATCTCAAAGACATCGTGTTGAATTTAAAAGGCAAGATAATGTTAAAAACAGGAAACTGAATGCCAGGTATTTGGGAACTCTCTGTACTAATCTTCAATTTTTTTTTCTATAAATCTAAATCTTTTCTTAAAAATAAGGTTTACTACACACATACACACACACACACACACACACACACACACACACACACACAGGAAGCTGCTGTGTAACCCGTATTGAAAGCTATCATGATCTGGCTGTCAGGGTCCCAAATGAGGTAAGAGTTGAGATTGATGTCACTGGTGACATCCAACCAACGCTCTCAAGAAGTAACTTTTTTTAAAAACATATATATTTTTTATTGATTTTTTTACAGCGAGGAAGGGAGAGGGATAGAGAGTCAGAAACATCCATGAGAGAGAAACATGGATCAGCTGCCTCCTGCACATCCCCCACTAGGGGCGTGCCCGCAACCGTGGTACATGCCCTTGACCGGAATCGAACCCGGGACCCCTGAGTCCGCAGGCCAACGTTCTATCCACTGAGCCAAACCAGTCAGGGCAAGAAGTAACTTTTTTAAGTGAAAAGACCTCCCACTATGAAACGTCCTGGTGATACTGGGCACGGACGGGTCCGTTACTGCCTTCACCACTAAGCCAATAAGCAGAGACAAGGTGGAATCTTTTATGAGCGTTGATTAATCAGATAGCAGGCGACCTGAGCGAGCAGCAGGGTAGCACCTTGAGAAAGAGTGCTCTGACATTTCAGTTCAAGCTCTTGTACAGGGCTAGTGGGTGGGGAAAAATCTGAAGTTAGTGAGTTCCCAGGGCCTGCCTTCTTTCGTCGTCCTTGCGAAGATTAGCCCTGGAATGCTGTCTCCCTTCAGAGATGTTCTGTCCTTCATCTGGGCTCCGGGCTGCCTTATCTCCAGGCCTGTTCTCCTTCGTGTGACACGTCCTTCAGTTTCCCAGGGTCTGTAAGAAAATCTCCCCTTCATAGTGAGCAGCTATTAAACAACTGTGGTTCTATTTCTATTATGTGTCCCGCCCCTATTACCTCCCCCCCCCCCCCCGCCCCGTTAGTTTTAAATCTTATATCTATGAGGTTAGTTTCATATGGAAAGGGTCTTGCTGCTGAGTGGGGGAGGGGGATTTGAGAAGTCCTCTAGGTGCAGGCCAGCGAAGTCCGTGCCGATAAGGACCTGGAAACTGGTCAAGTGATGGTCTGATGTGCATCACCCTGGTCTTTGTCATCCTGCCTCCACGTCATCTGAAGGTCGCTGAAGGTCTGAAGGTCAGCTGTTTCCCCCTCAGCCATTTCCTTCCACTGGCAGCATCTCCCAGAACTGGGGTGACTGAAGGTCAGAGCCTGTATCTTCGGAAGTGAGTTCCTGGGATTCCGATACAAGCATGCTGTTTATCTAGTCAGAGTCAGCATTTATGGAAACAATGTCAAATGAATGGCAGGCCGGGTTACAGTTCCCACTGTTATTCTGGTCGTTGTGGCGAGACTTGACCAGGTCCCCTAAGACCAAGTGAACTGTTATTCTGGTCCGTTTGGATAATGGAAATCTCCCACCATTGGGGAAGGTGCTGTTAGCCCCACGTGGCACTGGGGGTAAACGGGCAGTGACAGATAACACACACAGAGCTACTCTGAGCCAGGGACTGGTCTAAATGCTTTACCTATCTCAATCCTATATTTACCTATTTTGAGTACCTATATTAATCCTTACAGCTAGTCTATGAGGTAAGGACTATTATCGTCCCTACTTGACAGATGAGGAAGTAAGCACAGAGAGATAAGTAACTTGCCAAGGTTAGTAAGTGGTAGAATTGATTTAGGAAGCCAGCTAGTCTCTCTATGTCCTGATATTCTAAAATGCTTCATTGTCATAAAAAAATAATCAAAGTAGGGTTTTAACCAGGCTTTGGCCCAATGCCTTTCACGAAATTGTTTGCCGATTCCTCCATTTATGCATGAGAGTGCCTCTTTTATACAGCCTCTGCCTACTTATCACCAGGATTTACCTTTGTCGTTGTTGTTCTTGGTTGCTTCTTGATTTAAACTCCTTCCATAGAAGTGAAACTAGAGAAACTGCATGGGAGGCTGCAGACACGATCCAGGTGTCGGTGGTTCCTTTAGTGAGCGTTTATTGAGCATTTACTATGGGTTGGGACTCTTGTATATTATCGCATTGAATCTTCACAACGATATTATAAAGTAGACGTCCTTATTCACTTTTTACAGAGAAGAAAAACAGGTTTCAGTGGATGAAGGGACTTACCTGGGATCATGCAATCTCTAGGGAGGAGCAGAGCTGGTTCAACCTCAAGTCCAACTCAATTCAAAGTTCCTGCTCTAAACCAGCGTTCACCAACCGGTGGTCCGCGGACCACTGCTGGGCCGTGAGGTCCGAAAGGTTGGCGACCGCTGCTCTAAACTATATTCCCATGAGGGCAGGAACCAGACTGGGTTTGCTTTGTTGGCCTCCTTATTCACAGTACCTAACATGGTAGTTGTCATTTGGTGAGTGAGAACACACACACACACACACACACGCACACACAGAGGAAGGGTATATGGCACAACATCACGGAAGCCAAGGAAAGACTGTTTGGTTTTTTGTGGGGCGTGAATTCTTCTAATAAATGGCTTCTCTTGAAATAAGTTTAGGCTCCCAGAAAAGCTCCGAATATAATACACGGAGTTCCATATGCCCTCGGCCATTTCCTTCCATCGTGAGCGTCTTACATTACCATGGTGCGTCACTATAACTACGCACTGTATTTGGATTTCACCAGTTTTCTCGCTGATGTCTTTTTTTCAGTCTCAGGGCCCAGAGCGGGACCCTGGGCCCGTGTGCGTTCACCTGTCCTGTGGCGCCCTGGTCACTGGTCGAATTCAGCTGCCATGCCGCCCCGGTCTCCCCGGCCTGTGGTGGCTGCTCGGGCCTCCCTTGCTTTTCATGACCTTGTCAGTTCTGAGGAGTAACACTCGGGCAGTGTGTGGAGTGTTCCTCACTTTGGGTTACTCTGATGTTTTTCTCCTGATTAAACCGG